ACCGATCCCCTCCCCCCAACTGCGACTCAGGGGGGAGTAGGGGGCTCCGGCGTCCTGGCGCTGCCTGCCACGGGGGGGCGGACTCTACGCCCCCTCGGCCCTCGCCCCGTCTCCTTCCTCTCCCCCCTCCCCGCCTTTCTAGGGGTGCAGAGCAACCCAGAGCCAAGCCCCTCCCCTGCAGGAAAAGGACCCGCCGCCAGGCGCGCCCCCCACCCTTTCCATCTCTAGGAAAGGCAGCTCGGTAGGCTTAACCCTTTCGCTCGCAAGGGCTCCGCCTTCCCGCGGCGGCTTCCCTCAGACGTGGGCACCGCAAGTCCCATCCTTCGCAGCAGGCACGGCCGGAGGGTCGGGCGCTGGGAATGGTCTCCGAAAACATCGCGGCCCCCACCCCCACGTTGGGGGAGTCTGCTTTAGGGCGCAAGTCTACGGCGTGGGAACAAAGTCCTGCACCTCCCAGCATTCCCAGGAATGCCGTTTTGAGGGGCTTTTTTGTGGCTGGCTGGGGAATGCTGGGAATTGCAGGAGCTTTCCGGGCTGGCTGGCTGACTGGCTGGGGAATGCTGGGAATTGCAGGAGCTTTCCAGGCTGGCTGGCTGGCTGGCTGGGGAATGCTGGGACTTGTAGGAGGTTTCCAGGCTGGCTGGCTGGGGAATGCTGGGAATTCTAGTTTTCCAGGGTGGCTGGGGAATGCTGGGACTTGCAGGTGCTTTCCAGGCTGGCTGGCTGGCTGGGGAATGCTGGGAATTCTAGTTTTCCAGGGTGACTGCGGAATGCTGGGAGTTGTAGGACTTAAAAAAGCAACAGGCTTAGGACTGTTGTGCCCTTAGAGAAAAAGTCAACCCAACAGACAAGGGATTATGATCCACAGATGGACTGAAATGACGGTTTCCCTTTGTGCATTAGGAGTCATGAGAACATAGGCTGCCCCCCCCCCCCCCCCCCCGCTGAAACATCAATCTGGCAGGCATTGATGCAAAACAGATAGTGGAGAGCTATGAAATAATGACGGGAAAATAAGAGCTGAATCTGCTGAATCATGTGATACATAAAAATGAGGCATACTAGAAGAAAGGGCATACCATTGGCATATACAATTCTACCATTTAGTAAGTTTGTCACTGTCCTTAAATGTTAATTCTATTCAAACATACATTAAAGAAGAAAAAATGGGAGTTCACTGACTGAACAAGGCTTCCATCTCAGCAGACATGCAAAGGTTTGCACTGAGGTCTTACAGGTTTGCACTGTAAGACCCCAGTTAAATGCCACATTTCCTGGGAGTAAGCCCTATTGAAATCCCCAGGTTTTGTTTTTGAATAGAAATTATTAAGCTTGTTAATAATTTAATAATTTATCACATCTAATCTACTCTAAATAATTTAGATTTATCACGTCTAATCTACTGAATTCACATGCATGGCTGTGAAAGCTGGACAGTGAAGAACACGGACAGAATGACAACAGATGCATTGGAAGTGTGGCGCTGTGGGAGAGCTTTGTGAATACAGAAAGATGAACAAGTGAGTCTCGGATCCAATCTTTTGGACCGCAAAAATGACAAAACTGAGGCTGTCACATTTCAGACACGATGAGAAGGTAAGACTCCCTGGAGAAGACGATCATGCTAGGGAAAGTGAAGGCAGAAGAAAAGGAAGACCAACTAAGAGCTGGATGGGCTGCATAAGAAAACTAAGATCATGGCATCCGGTCTTCTCACTTCCTGGCAAATAGTGACAGATTTTATTTTCCTGGCCTCCAAGATCACCGCAGACGGGGACTGCAGCCAAGAAATTAGAAGACGCTTGCTCCTGGGGAGGTAAGTTCTGGCAAATCTAGACAATATACGAAAAAGCAGAGACATCACCCTGCCCACGAAAGTGCGTATAGTCAAGGCGATGGTTTTCCCAGTTGCAATGTATGGCTGTGAAAGCTGGACCATAAGGAAGGCTGAGCACCGAAGAATTGAGGCCTTTGGATTGTGGGGCTGGCGGAGACTCCTGCGAGTCCCTTGGACCACAAGGCGATCAAACCAGTCAGTCCTAGAGGAGATCAGCCCTGACTGCTCTTTAGAAGGCCAAATACCGAAGATGAAACTCAAAATACTTTGGCCACCTAGTGAGAAGGAAGGACTCCCTGGAGAAGAGCCTAATGCTGGGAACAATAGATGGCAAAAGGGCAGAGGATGAGGTGGCTAGATGGGGTCACTGGGCCAGTGGGTGTGAGTTTAAGTGGACTCTGGGGGATGGTGGAGGACAGGAAGGCCTGCAGGAATGTTGTCTGTGGGTTCACGATGGGTTGGATGCGACTTCACGACTAACAAAAACAACGGGCTGCATAAATGAAGCCACAGTCTTGAATTTAGATCAGCTAAGCAGGGAAATAAAGGACAGGCCATTTTGGAGTACATTTTTCACAGGGTTGCCATAAATCAGGTGCGCATGTCATGAGCGGAGTCAGGGGTCAGACTAGATGGCCGGGGAGACCCCTTCTGACTCACTCTATTTCTAAGTCAGTGATGGCTTGACAATGCATAACAACTACAATCTACAATCTGGTCTGAAATATGAATTTAAAACCCTTTTAAAATGCATTTTTAATTTTTATTCCCTTCCATGGATGCTACTATAACCTGAGTAAATTAATCTGATTGGAATTTTAAATTTGTATTAATTGACAGATGTATTGGTTTATTAGTGTTTTAAAGTTTTATTCTTTTAATATTGTGAGCCGTCTACAGATTCTGCTAGCGAAATAGGCGGCATATAAACAAACAAATAAATAAAGGTATGCAGCGACTGATTTTTCATTACACTATAATTAAGTGCTTGCAGGCTTATCTGGATCTTAACAATTCCCCCTGCCCACCAGCTGTTGGACACTGGTTTGCTTTCTGGATCTAGTTTGGCTCTGGTGTGCTTCTGTTGCAGGCAATGGCAATGTTCAAAGGTCAAAGGTTCAGAGTTTTCCTTCTGAAAATTCACAGGTGGCTTTTATCCATCTCGATGTTAAGCTTGTTCACACTTCCTTCGACTTTCCCACAAAGGTACCTTGTGCTGGAGTTGCAGTAAAATGCAAAGACATTTAATGGACATGAGGTTTTTAATAAATTAATTGCCATACAAAAACTTTAAACTGTGGGTGTTAAACACACTCCTTCCTCCCTCTCTTCCTTCAGGAATTACTGAAGTGCATCAAGCCAGAAACTCCAAGAGCTCAGTCCCTGTTTTACGCACGACTTGGAATACTCTTGGCCCATCTGCTGGCTATTAATCACTTATATTCTTAAATTATTAATATGGGTAGTACTGGTATTGTTTACTTCCATCCCACCTCTCCTCAAAGATGTTTGAAAGTGTACCTACAATTATTCCTGTTTTATCCTCACAACAACCCTGTGAGAGAAGTTTAGATCAGACCCACAGCCTGGAAGTTCTGATCCCCCATTTTGAAGCAACTTGCTGAATTCAGCCTATGAAGGGCCATATGTCCTTGTAAGCCCCCCTTCAAGTGGTACAGGCCAACCCCAGGTTCACAGCCTCACTGAGAGTAAGGCCAGAAAGATTTTCTTGTTTTCCCATTTTTTGATTCAGGTGTCTCCGCTTACCTGTCCTACTGCATGGGGAGAGGACCAAAGCACCCCATTCCTCCCTTGAGCAGGGGTGCAGAATCTCGGGCCCCCGGGCCAAATTTGGCCCTCCCGGGCATCCGGCCCTCCCATGTTCTCCTCATGGCCTCACAGTCCTTCCTCTGACCGATTCTTAGATGCTTTCCTAACACCTGTGCAGTTTTCTCTCTACATTCCAATGCCGAAGGTGTTCTCTCTGGCTGCAGGTGTTTTAGGGGACAATTTCAGAGCCCTACTCAGCACATGAAGGGCCCAAGGAGAGTTTGAACCCAGATCCAAGCGGGAAGGCTGTGCTTTGACCTCAGAGCTGGGAACTGCAGCTCCGGTGACCCTCCCTGGCCCTTCTCAGCCAGTGCAGAAGGAGCCATGCTGGCTGGCCTCCAAGGCAGGGAATTCATCCTCCAAGAGGGGGAAAGGGGCCATGTTTTGGTGGGAAGGGAAGGGACGAGATGGGAAGGGATGGGACGGGACGGGGGAGGCCAAGACAGGCATCTTTCTGACACTGCTTTCATCTTATTCTCTTCCCCTCCGAGATGTTTCAGTTATACAGGTGAAAAACCTCATCTAGAGGTAACTGCATAGTGGACATCCTGGGAGGAGAAGCTCATAATTCTGCATAGGATGAGCACAAACCTTCACATTTGTCATCCTCATTGAATCAGACCCTGCACGCTTAAGTTAAAACAAGCTGGCATTTGGGGTATGGCTGGTTTTTTGGCCCTCCGCTGGAATGCCACGGGCAAACTAAAACCAGCCCTTGTGATGAGCGAGTTTCAAACATCTTCTTCTGGAGAGAAAATCAGATACAGCAAGACATCAATATTTTGACATCTAAGCCAACCGCTACCTCTCCATCACTGCCATATCCCGGGCCTTTTCTTCAACCAGCATTTGTATTTCCCCCATTTCCATAAAGGGATTTAAGATAGTCTGAAGTACAACATTCACCTGTGAAGTTAAGCTTTTCATTGACGTGGCCACCTTGGTCCAGGACTGAGGTTATCCAGGTAGTTTGATGCCAGTTAAGCAATTGTAGAGTGAACAGCTCTGTGTGGGTCCTGAAGAAATAAGGAGTCTAATGGTTTATTAACAGAACTCTCTCTGTATTGTGTTGATCAACAGTTGGAAATTATTCCTCCACACTGCTGTGGAAGATGATCTCCAAACCCAATTACAGACAGAGAAAATCAAGGGAAGAGCACCAACTCCCTCTGGAAACATAAAAAATAACCATGAAATCAGGCCAGGCTAGCCCAACCTGGTCTCTCTGCATGCGTTGGCTACATACATCAGTTCCATGCTGGGTGGAGATGATGTGAGATGTAATCCAACATATAGGAAGGCCATTAGGTTGGGGAAGATGGAATTAGTCCACTGAAGTCTGGATGTGAATTCTCTGGTGCCTGATCAGGTGTTTGCTGCGATAGAAGCTTTCTTCACACTTAGAGCATTTGAACGGTTTCTTCCCAATGTGGCTTCTCTGATGTCTAATAAGGGTGGACTTGTCGCAAAAGCTTTTCTGGCACTGTGAGCATTCGAACGGCTTTTCTCCTGTGTGGTTCCGCTGGTGCGTGATAAGGTGCTGGCTCTGGTTGAAGCTTTTCCCACACTCAGAGCAGGTAAATGGTTTCTCCCCAGTGTGGTTCCGCTGGTGTGTGATCAGATGTTGCCTTTGACTGAAGCTCTTCCCACAGTCTGAACAGGGATAGGGTTTCTCCCCCGTGTGGATCCTCCGATGCCTTATCAAGCCAGATTTATGGCAAAAGTTTTTTCCACAATCCACACATTGGTACGGTTTCTCACCTGTATGTATTCTTTGGTGTGAAATAAGGTTTGTGCTCCGATTGAACCTTTTCCCACAGTTCAAGCATGTATAGGGTTTCTCGCCTGTGTGGGTTCTCTGGTGGCTATTAAGGTCTGAGCGGCGCCGGAATATTTTCCCACAGACCGAACATCCGTGTGGTTTCTCTCCTACATGGGCTCCATTAAGGTTTGATCCGTCCTGGAACGGTTTCTCATTCATGGCAGCTTTGTTCCTTCTCTTTCTTTTGAGAATTCCTTCTTGTCCTGAAACTTCACAGACTTTCTCATCCCAGGAAGAGGGGTGTTTATTCTTCCATTTCCCTGTTTCATGCGTGTGAAACCTCCCTGGGCCATCCTGGTTTCCAGCAGGTGCTTCTGACTCCTGGCCCATTACTTTTCCCAATGGCACCAAGAAGAATTCTTGATCATTTTCATTCTGCTCACCTGTTAGGATGGAGAGAGGAGACAATAAAAACATTGGTGCAGCTGACCTGTTGCCATTCACTGCATGACATTTTGCACTGATCTTATGAACTGGAGTGTTTTTACTTTTTGCTGTTGATTTTATCTTGGCTTTATAACATGCCAAGAGTTGATGTGGGGGCAAGAGTGTTGGACTGGGGACCTAGGAGCAATCCAGCTCCTAGTCCCCATTCAGTGATGAAGCTCACGGAGAGACTTGGGGCCAGTCACAGACTCTCAGCCTACCTCACAGGGCTGTTGTTATGAGGATAAAATGAAAGTGGGGGAGCACTATGCAAGCCAAGGAAAAGAGGTGGGATATAACAGTGCTACATAATGTCATGATGTTATTTTCTCATGGTTTGTATTTGTATTTTTAAGGCGTGGTGCCTTACCAGTGAGGGAACTGGAATGGCAAAGGGGCCTTCTCATTGTTTCGATGCTCTCAGAGGTCACCCTGGTCCCAAGAAAGCTGCTGATCAGCACGAATCAAGCACTTTGATTTAAAATTGTGTACCTTGACCAGCCAGCACTGCACCCGTTTCCTCCAGCACAGTCACGGAGGCACTGGGGGGGGGGGGGCTCCCAAGCACTGGCCCAGCATCCATGGTCCCACCCTGGAGGCACCGAGGACAGAACCGACCCTTCTGAACCTCTACGGCGATGCGAAGTCAATTTCTCCACTTTCCTTTCCTCACCCAGCCCATTCCAACTAACTCCACCTCCCCGCCAGGCTCCCGTCCTTGGGATACCTCCATGGTGACAAGCCTTGGTACTTCAGTGGCTGGGGAACATGGGTGGGAGGGTGCTGTCCTGCACACAGCTGCTTGGCCACTGTGAGACCCACAGGCTGGACCAGCTGGACCCTGGTCCGATCCAACAGGACTCTTCCGAGCTCCTGGCCCAGGAGCAGCTCCACTCCAGTGGGAAAATGAGAGCCAGTGTGGTGTCGTGGTTAAGAGCATGGGACTGGGACTCAGAGGATCTGGGTTCGAGTCCCCGCTCAGCCATGGAGCCAACTGGGTGACTCTGGGCCAGTCACAGACTCTCAGTCCAACCTACCTCACAGGGTTGTTGTTGTGGGGATGAGATGGAGGAGGAGAGATAATGTAAGCTGCCTTGAGCCCTTTGTAGGAAAAAGGCAGGATATATTAAAAAAAAAAAAAAGAGCTGGAGAATTAGCCCGACTTTGAACTAAATAGCAATTCAGGGGTTACCCAACACGCCGCCGGCCCCTTCATTCTCGTGCTTGATCTCCTTGTTGAGCAGGCCCTGAACGGCATCCAGCGGTGCCCCCTCTTTTTCCACGAAAGGCATGGAGACCTCCGGAAGTGCTTTCGGGACCTGAAACATACCCACAAAGGCTTTGACCCAACAGGAGGGGGCTGCATTCCCACAGAATCCTAGAACCAGAGAGGGGCTCCGTGGTTTAACCTGCCCCAACCCAGTGCCTTCCAGATGTGTGGGACCAAAACTCTCATCGGGCCCGAAGACCAAAGCCAGCTAGGAACGCCGGGGGTTGCAGTCCAAGACCTCTGAAAGGTTCCAGGTCAGGGCAAGCTCTCCCAGAGAAAGGGCTCCATTGTGGAGCTGTTTCTGCTCAAGCGCTTTGGCTATGGGCAGTATAGAAATATCATCATCATCATCATCTATTTATTTATTTATTTATTTATTAAAACATATTATTTTTATGCCGCCCCATTCGCCGAAGCCTCGGGGCGGCTTACAACAATTACCACAGCTGCTCAACTGCAATGCCAGCCCATTCGGTCCCATCCTGCCCTGTGGAGTTAACAGACAACCAGCCTTTGTTTTCCTTTAGGTGACCAACTTCAGGTCTTTGGAAAAGGCTGTTATGTCCCCACTCCAGTTCCATATCCAGTTCCTTTTAACCTTCCCCCATAACACAAGGGTCCGAAGCCTCAGGCTCGGGGGCCTATCTGGCCCTCCTGATGCCACCCCCACCTTCCACTGGCCCCTCCCAATCTCCTCCAGCCACCAATTCTGCAGGGATTTCGGGGTAGTCCCGCCCCTGGCCATACATTATTTGAAAAAGTGGAAATGCCTCTCCTAAGATTTGTTCACTAGCTGTAAGAGTATCAAGCTAAAATAGATTGGCATTTCTTGGCTCCACCTCATTTCCCCTTCAGTCCCGCCCACTGCCAGAATGTGGCCCCCAAGAACTTCTCTGGAAAGGGATTCGGCCCCCGAGCTGAAAGGGGTTACGCACCCCTTCTATGAGACATGATTTCCACATGAATGACCATCTTCGTCACTGTTCTCAAACCCATATAAGATTTGTCCACAGCAGTCTTTTCCGGCAGAGGAGTTGGACTACAAGTCCCACCATCCCCAGCTAGGTGATAGGAGTTGTAGTCCAACATAGCAGGAGGGCACCCAGTCAGACAAGGCTGCCTATCTCTTTCATGTCCCCATCCGCTCTGAATCCCCAACTCCTACCCGGCCGAGACACGCTCGCACCTGCCGTTCTGGTTTCTCAGCCTGTCGCTGCTCTACGAGGAAATCCTCCGCTAGGCTGACGGCGTGGAAGCCACTCTCAGCAGCGCGTGCCTTCACCCAGCTCTGCATCTCCGAGGGCAGGACAGCCAAGAACTGCTCCAGGATGACCAGCTCCAGGATTTGCTCCTTGGTGTGCCGCTCAGGCCTCAGCCACTGCGTGCAGAGCTCGCGGAGGTGGCCATAAACTCCTCGGGGGCCCCAGTCGTCCTGGTAGCAGAGCTGCCTGAATTGCCGGCGCTGTGGCTCCAAAGCGAGCAGGTCCTCCATCTTGATCTCCTGCAGTTGCCTGCTGTCCACCTGGCTGCCTGGGGCACCCAGCCAGGTATCAACTGGCTGGGACGTCCCCTTAAAAGCAGGATGGAGTCCGTTCTTGTCTCTAGGTCTCAGGCCAAGACCTAACACTCCCTGAAAAGGGGGCAGGGACATCTTGGCCTCACCCCATGGCACCGTCTCCGGCAATGGTGGGATTCCCTCTCCGGAATGAGAAGTATGCACCGCCTTCAGAAACTCCTGCCACTGGGCTTCCCAGCGGAGTGACGAGAGCTTCTCTTCGGGCTCCCGTTTGATTTGCTTCGGCTCTTCCCAGTTCGGCTGCTGCCCAACTGTCCTCGGAGTGCCTGGGGCAACATCTTCCATCCCTCTGAGCCCCACTGCTGATTTGAGGCCTGGGGACTCCTCCAGCTCTGCTTTCATTCCCCGTGCCTCATTTTCCCCTAGTGCGGTCAGGAACTGAGGACTCGGAGCTCCTTGCTCTGTAGCCATTTCCACATGCAGGGAACGTTCCCAGCTTGGCTGGGCCGCTCGGTCCTCTTTTGCACAGGCAGGACTAGATTCTGGCCACCTGCTTCAGCCCGACCATCCGATCCATGCAAGGGGGTGGCCACAGAGTGTGAAAGATGGGATGTGCATGGATGGAAAAGCTCAGCACGGCCTCCTCTTCTTATATCTCAGACTCCAAACTCATTTGAGCTGCTGGTCCTGAAGCAAAGGCACACAAACCCCAATGAGGCGATGCAGGAAAGATGTGATTCTGGGTGCTG